TAGTATATACATTGGCCCCAAAGTATTTTTAAAGGGACTACTTCAATGCCAAAGTATATCTATTTGGGCACATGGATCCTTAGGGTTTTGCAAACCCCAGATGCATTGATGTAACTGTTGGGGGTATAGTATACTATAGACATAATAAGGAACCCCCAAAACCCTATTCTAGTTATTAAGGCTCCTACATTAGTGTGCACGTCCCAAGAGATGCTTGAAAGCACGCAAGCTTTCATCCGAATCACGCGGGGATGTCTGCCTCTATGCGCAAACCTTGCAGGCTGATCACGCGGTATGTTCGCTGCATTACGAAACCAAGCGTAGCATGTAAACACCGGCTGTGACAACAGTGATATCCTGACAAGAAAGGGTTGGGGACAGGCTTTTTGAACAACTGCTATTCCTTCAAGCCCTTCTCCCTAATAATGTGTTAGACCCTGTGGCATAACCCTTAATACCCTTCGCATCTGGATCCCTACAACAGACGAAACCAGCGAGCCAGCATTTCCGCCCAGTCGAGTGGCGGCGTGACACTGTCGCCTTTTCAGCAGCCTGCATGATGGCAGCCTAGCGACATGGCACTGGAGCACAGAGAATATTTACTTGGTCATATCATTCTTCATGCATATATAATATAGTTTAAAATAGTACAACGTATTTAACAGGATTAGTACAACGTATTCAGCAGGATTGCTAGTTTTGCTGCATTGGCATCCGGGACTGCCATGCTAACCGCTGTGTGAATATAGTTTCAGACGGTGGCAGTACATCATATTTAGCAAAGGTTTACTATGTTTTTCTGTATTGGCATCCGCGACTGCCATTTTGAAATGCTGTATAAAGTAGAAAGACGTGACGCAGAGCACAGAACAGAACATGATACATTGTATGTCTTGCAAGGTTTGTTCAGAGGCATGCGCCGACTAGTTCTAGTTTGTACGGCTGTTGCACATGACTGTCTTGAGCGTCGTCTCCGCACTCAAACCGGAAGTCTCCTCGGAGGTGCTTTGAACTTGGCTTTCAGCCAAAACAACAGTGCCGAGGCTGCTGCATGAAGGCGCATACATAGCAACTCAGCTCCTCAACGCCTAAACCTCTAAACCCTAAACCCAAAGGTTCAAATGCGAAAGCCGCCTAAGGCTTCGTGAACTTCCAGCACCACTCTGACCCGAAGAACCAGTGAGCCAGCAAGAAGCGCGGCACGGATAAGGGGAGAGTTGGAGCAGACGTGCATTCAGTGGTCCCCGCGGCCAAAGAAAGCAGGCCAGCAAGTAGAAACGACATTCTGCGCATCATCCCGGCTTTGCTCCAAGAGCACTTCTGCCTGGTGTGTTTCGACAGATGCTCGTGCCCAAGCGTTCGGGTGTGGTGACGGGTGACCATTCCAAGCCGCTCACTACCAATGCAATGCGTGTTAGCCTGGACCGAGACGGTAAGCATGAAAAGAGCTAATAGGGGTCTAAATATTACGAATATTTTTTATTTTTTTTTTTTTGGGGGGGGTTCCTCATTTAAGTATAATCTAATGGCCCCAAAAACCTATTCTGATTATTAAGGCCCTTACAGAAAGCGTGAAAAGAGCTATGCTGCAGTGAGGCGGCCGCAGAACCGCAGGGGATGGCGTGTGCTCAGATTCGACTATCGTGTCTCAAAGTCAAGGGCCTCGATCGTGTGGTTAGGGTTTAGGGTTAGGATTCAGAAAACATCATATGCGGTCATGACGATGACATGATGCTGCACTGCTGCAATAACTAAGAATTTGCAGGCACATGTTTGCGAACACCTCCGTGAGCAGAGCTTGTGTAGAAGTTCCTTCGATGAACGAGGGAGGTCTGGGCCAAATATGTTTGAAAGCAGGATAGTATAGTGCACGCAATATTTACAAAATACCTTAAACCCTAAACCTTAAACCCTAAACCTTAAACCTTAAACCCTAAACCTTAAACCCTAAACCCTAAACCTTAAGCCCTAAACCCTAAGGGGATGATAGGTTTGCGGAGACAAGCAAGGCTTCTGTTCTTAAGGCTCAGTGTGAGGATCTTCGGATCCTTCCCCCAAACCCAAAACCCTAAACCCCCTAAACCCTTAAAGTCCGTAAACCCCTAAAGCCCTAAACCCTGAAACCCTAAAATCCTTAAACCCCTCAAAGCCCGAAACCCTGAAACCCTAAAAATCCCTTAAACCCCGTCTCAAAGCCTTAAACCCTGAAACCCTAAAATCCCCAAACCCGCCAAAGCCTTAAACCCTGAAGCCCTAAAATCCCTGAACCACTCAAAGCCCGAAACCCTGAAACCCTAAAATCCCTAAACCCCTCAAAGCCCGAAACCCTGAAACCCTAAAAATCCCTTAAACCCCGTCTCAAAGCCTTAAACCCTGAAACCCTAAAATCCCTAAACCCCAAAAGCCCTAAAGCCCTAAAATCCCCAAACCCCCCAAAAAGCCCGAAACCCTGAAACCCTAAAAATCCCCAAACCCCCCCTCAAAGCCCTAAACCCTGAAGCCCTAAAATCCCTCAACCCCTAAAGCCCTAAACCGCTAAAGCCCTAAAATCCCCAAACCCCCCCCTGAAAAAGCCCGAAACCCACCGAAAGCCCGGAATGTGCCCCCCCAGGCCGGGGAGGCCACTCCCGGCGGTCACAGGCCGCGGCCTCGCAGTTGGCTCATTCTCATATTTAGGGTTTAGGGTTAATAGGATTTACGGGGGTTTAGGGTTTATAGGGCTTATAGGGTTTATGGGGGTTTAGGGTTAATAGGGTTTATAGGGTTTATAGGGGTTTAGGGTTTAGGGTTTATAGGGTTTATGGGGGTTTAGGGGTTTAGGGGCTGTAGGATTCTCATATTTTGTTAGGGGTTCAGGGTTTAGGGTTTATATATAGGGTTCAGGGTTGAGGGTTTAGGATTTATATGGGGTGTTTTGGGCTTCGGAGTAGGATGTATATAGGGTTTAGGGTTGAGGATTTATGTAGGATTTTAGGGTTTAGGGTTGTAGAAGTTATGTAGGGTTTAGGTTTAGGGTGTAGGGGTTTTCTCTTGAGGTACGGTTGATGATACAAATCCTGCATTCCCCACATTAAGTAATATTCCATAATTCCCACAGTTTAGGGTAATTAAGGTAATGCAGGATTTAGATCGTCAACAGTACTTCAAGGTTTAGGGGTTCAGATCAGTTTGATGGCAGGCTAAACCCTAAACCCTAAACCCGCACAGCAGCTCTGGGTGGAATGGACCGTTAAACTGTCTAAGACGTGATTCCTCTCTGCTCCATGGAGGCACACGCTCGTTGCCAGCTGCAAACTGCCGAAATCCGCAATGGAGGTGACCGGTCATGTCTGGGACTGGGCCGCTATAAGGGTGACTGTAAGGGTTGCTAACAGGCTTTAGGGTCTAGGGTTTAGGGTTTAGGGTTTAGGGTTTAGGGTTTAGGGTTTAGGGTAACTATAAGGGAGACAAGAAGGGTTGGGAGATTGCAAGGGAGCACGCCCGACCATGCGAAGTATAGCCCCCGAAAGGAAGCAGAAGAACAAAAGGCTCCACCAGCTTCAACCTG